GCCGGGGTACCGACCTCCGCAAGCACCAGCGCACACACGGTGGGGAGCAGCCGCTTCACAGACCCCAGAGGCTCCAGGACGCCCCTGGGGCCCGAGCCTGATGATTCGGAAGCTGTCAGAGTCGTTTCTGTCCCGGAGCCAGAAACTCTGGTCTTCAGGCATCTTCAGACTCCGTTTGCTCCCGTAGGCCCCAGCACGAGGACACGTGGTGGGACATTTGGGGGACCCAGGCTGAGGGAAGAAGCTGGGTCCTGCAGGTGTATTAGGGTCTGGGGCAGCCACACAAAGGACCACAGCTGGGCCGCTTACAGCACCTCCTTCCTGCAGCTCTGATGGAGGATCTGTCCCAGGGCGCTCCTGGCTCCTGGTGCTGCCAGCTGTCCTTGGCGCACCTGGGCTTGTGGCCACATCACTCTGCCTCCGCCTCCCCACAGCCTCTTCTGTGTGTGTCTCCATGTGTTGTCTCCTCTTGTAAGGACGCAGTCATTGGATTTAACTGATTACATCTGCAGAGACCTTGTTTCCAAGTAAGGTCACCTTTTGAGATTCTGGATATGAATTTGGGGGGACACTTTTCTGCCCACTTTGGGAGAAGCCTCAGTGGCTATGGTCTCTTGGAGCTTTACGTACCCCAGCCTTACCTGGGCTTGGTCTCCTGCCTTTCCCCTGAACCTTGCTGCACTTTCAAAATGTAGCCTGTTGCGGGGGGGGGTGGGGGGTGGTTTCCAGTATCACAGTGGTTGTGGGTCACCTTCGCAGAGCCACGGCTGTTCTGTAGGATGGATGGCTGGTGCGGGAATGCTTCCCTGAGATCCCATCTTTCAGCCTCCCCCAGCCCATCAGGACGTCCCCAGGGTAGAGTGCCAGGGTTGCCTTTGTTCCGGCCCAAGTGGCCGTGTCCCAGGATGCAGGCCGGCCATGGTTACCCCACTTTGAATTTCTGAGGTGGATGTGCCTCTCTGATCTGTTCACATCCACGGTCTCATAGTGGCTGAGGGGAGCAGTAAGAGGCCTTGTTTGCTTTAGTTATTTGTAAAGTTGTGGGGCAGCTCTGAAACCACTGGGTTCTGAAATGTTCCATTCAATTGCTAGACATATTTTTACCTTTCCACACAACCCAGGTTCTGGGGTGTGTGACCTGCTCTTTGTTCCCTTAATAAACGACGTCAGTCCGTCTGGCCCCTGTGCTCTGTCCTGTGTATTCTCTGGAGAATGGGGCCACCCAGTTTAGGGATGGTTTTTAACCTTGTGGGACACGTACTATCCAGCCAGGCCAGTGTCACCAACCACCCGCCTGCCCCTTACAGGCTCACTTCTCACATCCAGTCTGGTGCTGGAGGTGGCTGCCTTCTGCCACCTGCGAGCTGGGCCCATCCAATGTCTGTTCCCTGACATTCTCTCACAGTCCTGTAATAGGTCTTCATGATTCTCCTGCTCTAGATGGAAACTGAGACCCGAGAGCTTGAAGCACCTTGTCCAGGTGGCAGGACCAGCTTTCAACCCAGGTCCGAGCTCCCACTGCCTCATCCTCCTGGCTTTCCTTGATAAACAGTAATTCGCAGAGTTGAACTTGGAACTAAGTTTATTTTCTGTCACTGTTGGGGAAACATTCTGAGTGAACTTACTGCCATTAAAAGGGGTAGAGAGTGGGGGAAATGGAATTTTAAAAATAGTCTTTGTTCTTGAGGGCTAGTGGCTCCAGTGGAGGCTGTGTGCCATGTTCAGACTGCCTGCTCAGCAGCTGAGTCCTGACCATGCTGTGTGCACCCTGGAGTGGAGGGTGGGGGGCCTGCGCGGGGGGAGAGGATCTGAGGGCCCCAGGTGATGGTAGTCTGGCCACAGTCGCTGCCGGAGAGAGGCCTCCCGTGACCTTGGTGGAAGCCGTCTCACATCTGGCCTGTAATGCAAATGTCTGTTGTGGGGAATGGGGGCTGCTGGTAAGGCCCCCGTGGCCAGATCAAGTAGAGTCTGGCCCTGATCCTGGCTGCACGTGGCTGGCTGAGGCTGGGCAGGGCCTGTCTTACCTGGGAAGAGGACCTTGCCCATCCTCAGGGCATAGCAGCCGGCGGTGACCCCAGCTAAATGCTGGAACACGTGCCCAAATGCCAAGGACCCTGCTGGGCTGCCTAATCCCATGGCCTGGGGAGCCTGAGGTGATGGCTCTGTTCTTCCCATTGGCAGACAGAGCAGAGGGGCGCTGAGACTCTGAGACCTTGGAAACAAGTTGGAGAGAGAACAGAGGTGCTGCAGATCAGGGCTTCAGCCTGTTGGGAGCAGCTGGGCTGAGAACAATAGTTATGGAAGGACTCTGAAAATCGGGGCCGGGGGTGGAAGGTCGGGGGGATACTTCTTGGAAAGTAGACGGCAGCGCTGCCTGTGGCCCACAGCTCTTGCTGGTTGTCCATGGAGACAGTTTCAGGCGTTAGAACATTCACATTCTATCTATATTTAAAAGCCCATCCACCTTTACTTTGGAAGCACCCTAAAACATATACGTACATGCCTTTGTGTCTTGGTTGAAGAAGAAAAAAAGCAAATTTCAATCTGCCCCTCTATCAAAAAGTCCATTTGGTCCATGTGTGTGTGGTGGTATGTGAACTTAGGAACACAAAAGAGCAAACATCCAGGACTCAGAAAATGAATCTAAATTTTTCAAGACCTTTTCAATCCTGAAATTCTCCAAAGGAGTTTTAAGTTTTGGAGTTAAAAAGAAATAATAATAATAGATGCACATTAAAGAGAAAAAAACGCAGAAATGGAAAAAGGTGAAAAAGCCTCGTAGTCCCACTATCAGAACAAAACCGATGTCTTCACGGTGTTTCCTTCTGGTCCATTTTCAGAGGATTTGGGGCCATTTGATTTGTCATGCTACGCCTACAAGTTTGCACTGGCATCCTTGCTCTCAGTGCATGAAGATGTTCTGACTGAATTCTAGCAGAGGGCTGGCAGCAGATCGTCAGTTGGAGGGTCCCTGTGCTGCAAAGGCACATTCTGATGGAGATGGGAGAGTGAGGGGACCACCAGGGCCTCGGGTGTCGATGGAAAGTCAGATTATCCATTTATTCACCTCAGATGATTCACCTTTTCAGATCCGTTACTGGAGGCATCTACATTGGCCCAGAGGAGGCACCAGGGCCTCCCTGGCTGTCCCTGGCCCAAGAGGGTCCCCCAGGGCCCTGGGACTTCTGGGGGTCTGGCCTGGGCACTCTGTCTCTCAGCCCAGAGTGTTACATGTTGCTTTCCCCCGGGGCTGGATCCAGCCGTGTCTCCAGGGGCCTGAGCCTTCTGGCTTCTGGGACCCTTGCCAGCTGGCAGCTTGGGCTGAGCCGATGCCTTCCGAAATGCCCGGAGCTGTTGGAGGAGCTGACTCTTCCCCGTGCAGTCCCTGTGACACAAGAGAAGCAACCTCCGTCAGCACTCAGTGGAACCAACCTCCCAATACTTTGCCACTGAAACAGGACACAGAGGAAAACCAGAGTGCTTCCGGAGCGTGTGCCTGGTTCTCAAGACACTGAAAAGTCAGGATTGTGGCCTTCCAGCCCTCGACGTGTCAGCATGTTAAAGGCTTCTGGGAGGAAACCTGTGTGACACTTCTCAACCCAAGTTTGTTTTCCCTCTTTAATCCTATAATGCCTAGCTACACGCCACATTGGGGAAAAGCTGCATTAGACTCTGACGTTCCCAAAGGATAGGATCTTCAGGCTCTGTAACTCTAAAAACGATGGAGACTGCCAGAGCATATAATGCAAATTCACCCCACAACCACGGGGTGGCCTCCACATGTCAGAGACCTGAACCTTCCCTGAATTTGACATTTCACTTAATTGACTAAAGCCTTTCATTTCTGGTTGACAGCCATCACTTTATTCCATCCCTTCACTTTCTCTTCACTTTTATTGCCATCACTAGTAGGGAGCAAATCAAGTTGGGGGGCAATTTTTCAAAAAGAAAACGTAATCCCTTCTCAAGACCGAGCTAAGCATCCTTGGGGATGTCTGGAGAACAGGCCAGGCCAGACGTTGCTGGGCTACCCTGCCCGCCTCCCAGACCCGCCCCCCAGACCTGCTCACACCCTCCTGTGCTAGCCCTGTGGGTGCCAGACAGCTGAAAGCACCGATGTTAACATGCGGGCGGGGGCTTGCTGCTGAGGCCAAGGTGAGCATCTCAGGCGGTGTGAGCCCCCCTGTGGTTACCGTAGCCTGGCTGGGCCCTGCTGGTCTTGCGGAGCTGCTGTCTCCTCTTCCCCCTCCTCGCTGTCAGAGGAGCTGGAGCTGGAGCTGCAGCTGCGGGGAGAGGAAAGGTGGGTTCCTCTGGACATAACCAGCCCACTCCAGCCAGGCGTGGTTCCCATCAGGGACTTGGAGCACCCGGGTCTCCCTGGTGACCCAGGGCAGGAGAATGGGCAGGCCGGCCAAAGCCCAGCCAGCCGAAACCAAAGGGCCACTGCAAGTGGTGGAGGGACGCAGCCAGGGCCAGGTACCCCAGCCTAGGCTAAGTCTGCTTAGGACTCTGCCAGGAAAAGATAACCCTTGGCCCCAGCTTCCTCCCAACCTGCGGGGAGAGCCTGCTGCTGAGACCCAGTGGGACTGTGGTCCAGGCTCAGTTCTTGGCTAAAAGCACTTCTCAAGTGAGCAGTGCCCCCAGGACCTGCCTGTCCAAGTCCCCCTTCCTCCTGAGGCCAACATGGCAACCTGAAGCAGCAGGTTTGTGGCAGGGCTGTCACTGCTCCCTGTACCTTTCCGAGGGCCCCTGGTCTGATGGCTTTGTCGGCCGCAGGTCAATGAAGACGGTGGGAGGCCCTACTGGGCTCCTTAGCCGCGTGTCCATGGCCAGCGCCTGGAAGCCCAGCTCCCTGGAAGCGCATCTGGGGTGAGAGGAGCCGGGTGGCTGAGTCACTTCCCGGTGACCACTGTGTGCTTTGCCACTTATGTCCTGGGCAAAGCAACCTCTCTGAGCCTCAGTTTCTCTGTTTGTAAAGTGGGGGTAATGGTAGCACCTACCTGATCATATTCTTGAGATGAAAGAGAAATACACATCAAGTGCCCCACCCATAAATCAAGGCCCAATAAATGCTGAGAGAAGCCAGTTCTAGAGAGGACAGGGGCCATGCGTGATCCCACCTGCTTCCAGCCTCCTGCGGCTTGATGTCCTGGGGCGTGTCAGAAGGCACCCTCCAGGCAGAGGAAAAGGCTCTGGACTGCATGGTACATAGGAGGGTGAGTTGTTCCATGAGCCTGTCCTGGGTGCTCTGCTTGGCATCGTCTGTGGGGAAGGGGGAGGCAGCTTAGTGGGGATGCAGCCCCCTTTGACTCACAGCAGCTTGAGCCTCAGGACCCCTCGTGTGGACATGCCTGGGCTTGTGCTCTGAGAAGTGCTGGGGACCAGCGGAGGCCCAGCCCACCCTCTGCCGCTCACAGCTTTTGTGTCGCCCCTCCAGCTCAGCAGGGCGAGGGGCACTGTCTTCTTTAGCAGGGAGCTGTGTGTGAGCCCGGGAAGCAGGGGTGACGTCCTGTTAACAGTGTAGTCCACGTTCTCACTCCGGTCCCACTTGTCAGAGGGAACCATCAATAACAGTTCTGCATATTTGCTTTTCTTTTTTTTTTTAAGAAGCAACGGGATCATCCTCTATAGATTTTTTTTTTTACTGAATATATTTTACATTTTTCTGTGTTGAGAGAAATGAATAGATAGATAGATAGATAGATAGATTCCATTTGTTGAGCTGCAGAGAATTCTCTGGTTGACTGATTAGCTAGACTCCTATTGAATGTTGAATGTGGTTTGCTTCCAGTTTTTCACAAGTATGAACAATGTTGCAATGAACATCTGTGAGGGTGTGTTTAGGACAGCCTTTAGAAGTGGAATGAATAGCTTAATCAAAGGCTTATGTGCCTTTAAATGGAGAATAGATTCTGCCACATTGCCCGCCAAAAGGGGGCACCAACTACAGCCCCCCAGCCCTGCCCCAACTTGTAGGAGAGTGAGTTTCTCCATATCCTGCTCTAAGGGGTTAAATTCCAAACAAAACCCTTTTTAAAATAGCACCAGGGGCCCCTGGCCACAAAGGAGCCTTTGCTCTGGAACAAAGCCAGAACCCCCGCAGCACCGTTGCCTCAGACCTGCCTCCACTCACCTTTGTGGGCCAGAGTGGCCGGGAGGGGACAGGGAACTTTTTTATGAAACTGCCCAGAGTGAGGCCACAAGTGCAATGAAGGAATCATCCCTGGCTTTGTTTGGTAAACGTGGAGGCAGTGGAAACAGGATTCTGTTTAGGAGCGGGCTGAAGGGGTACCAAATGCAGGATTACTTTGCTCCCAGAAAGAAAGAGACGCAGGTCTGAGGAGGTGCGGGGGAAGAAAAGGCAGGGACCCGCTGTCTGAAGGGCTTCATCTCGTATCCCCAAGGCCTGGTCCACCCCGGGAACATAGCAGGCAGTCACATATGTAATGGATGAATGAATGAGTGTCAGTGAGTGAACGGATGGGTGGATAAAGTCTTGCATCCTGGGTGTGCAGGATGGCGAGGGCTGAGCAGCAGAGAGGTGCATCAGATGTGGCGAGCTGCTGGGCTGACTGTGCCCAGCCCATTGCCCTATTCTATTGGGAAGCCCTGGAAGGAGCCACTTGTGGGTATGCACTTGGGCCCCGGCGTTCAAGGTCAGACCTTGGCCCTGGAGAAGGTCTGCTGCCCACCACGTGGCTCCAGAAGCGCCATCTCCCGGTTCCTCTTCTCGCCCTGTCAGACTCTGAAGGACTTGATCCAAATCCCACTCTTCAAGCTGCTGAAATAAGTAAAGTGGTGATTATGAGGCTGCTGTGGGGTCCCAGGGACAGGAGCACCAGATTTCACAGCTGCCGTGACCCACACAGGCAGTTCTGGGATGTCTTGGGCAGAAACCAGGGCTGAGATGAGGCAGCTCGCTTACCCACCCCCACTCACCCACCCCGTGTGGGTTGCAGAATGAACTTCCTCCGTGAAGGCTGGTGAGGCCACCTACCTTCCTACGCAATAGTTTTATTTCTAGCACAAAGATGTTGTCTGACTTGGAGGAAACTCAGTGTCATATTAAAACTATTTAGGTTCATGCAGGTTTAGAATGTTGGGAGGTTAAAACGTTTTGCTCTTTTAAGAAACAGATTGTTCCAGGCAGGTGCTAGGACTGGAGGGGTTGGAAGAGGGGTGTGGAGGCGGTGGTGTGATGAGGGGGGAGGATGTTAATCAGGAATTATTGTGTCTTGTGTATGGCCTTGCAGCTCCTTGTAGTCCCATAGGGGAATGAAGATAAAGGGGTTCAAGGAAAGAATGGAATTATAGGATAGAATTGGTGAAAGTGACCTCCATGTACACCTTGATGCCAGTTTTCTCTAAGTCGTTAAGAAAATTTGTCAAATAAGGCAAAAAAGAGTTTTGTGATGTTTTAGTGTCATGTGGGAGCATCTTCGAAGGAGCCCACCTTTCTAGGGGAGGGCTGGCGTGCACAGTTGACCAGGGCTCACCTGTTTGATAACTTCGTAAAACTGAGAAGTGTGACGGTTTTCTTTTCCGTCCATTGGAGCAGCTAACCCCAAAGGTACCAGTTCTGTTGCCCTGTAGGTGCTGACCTATTGTACTTAATGTAGCAATTTAATCTCTGCGTTCCTTCCCCCCTCCCCACCCCACCATGTACAAAATCCCAGTTTCTCATAATCTCTTTGAACCGGCTTTGTCATACTGCTGGTTCCCTTGTTAATGAGCTAAATACGGGGGCTCACCATTTGTATGAGAACAAGGGCTTGATGTGAGATTACACTTTGTCAAATCTGTTACCTATCTCTTATATCTTCATGATCATGCTTGGGATTAGTATTCTTTTTTCTTTTTTTAAAGAAGGCTGGGGTCTCCTTGCTCTTCCTTGTTCACTTTAACTCTGAGGATGGTCTGTCGGATAGGTAGGACTGCCTGCCTGATGATGGGCCTGGTGCCATGGGCCTAAGGTTATTGCTATAGACTGAATCTCTTTGTCCCTCCAAATTCATGTGTTGAAATCCTAACCCCCATGTGATGGTATTTGGAGGTGATTATGTCATGAAGGTGGAACTCTCATGAATGGGATTAGTGCCCTCAAAAAGGAGACCCCAGAGAGCTCCCTCACCCCTTACAAATGAACCAGGAAGCATGCTCTCACCAGACACCAATGTGATGGAGCCTTGACCTTGGACTTCCAGCCTCCAGACTGTGAAAAATGAATTTCTGTTGTTTAAGACCCCCAGTCTATGGGATTTTTGTTACTGCGGCCCAAAGAGACTAAGACAGGCATAGTGGGCCAGCCCTCGAGTTGGCCTGGGGAGGACCATCACCCTGGGGACGGCTGGGCTAGGGGGACGCCTACCTGGAGGGAGAGCAAGGGCAGTCCACGCTGGGGCCCCTCTGGCAGCGTTTCCGCAGCATCACAGGGCATCTCCTTCACTCCACTCAGGTCTTGGTAGGCTGGGTCCTGGGCATCCCAGGTGACTTTGTGAAGTATGTCTTTCTCGATCATCTTCCTTCTCTCCCTCCGGAGGGCTCTGCGGTTTGCAGAGTCTGAGCCCTCCTGGGCCAATAAGGCAGCGCCTGGGGGCTCTGTCTGCAGGCCTGCTTCCTGAGGGGAGAGAGTGGCCTCTCCCTGTGGCCCCTGGCAAGGACTATGTGATGTACTGGTGTTGAAGGCTGTGTCCCCATCGTCATCCTGCCACGTGGGGGTCTCCACAGGCATCCTGAGAAGAGAGCTGCTCTCATCACAGCTCTGCAAAGGCCTGCCAGGGGCCCTTCCTTCCAGAGAGGCTGACTTCTGGGCCTGGGGCCCAGCGTTCCACTCTCCCCAGGGTTCCCCAGAGGATTCCACAGGCACTACAGCTGGCTACAGGGGAAACAAGCATCCTCAGTTAGCAGCCTCAAAACATATCTCGGGGAGTTTTTGTGTGCGGTAAGATGTGTATAGAACATAAGATCTGCCATGTGAACCATTTTGTTTTGTTTTGGTTTTGGTTTTTTTGTTTGTTTGTTTTGCAGCACAGGCTCCGGACGTGCAGGCTCAGCGGCCAAGGCTCACGGGCCCAGCCGCTCTGCGGCATGTGGGATCCTCCCGGACCGGGGCACGAACCCGTGTCCCCTGCATCAGCAGGCGGACTCTCAACCACTGCACCACCACGGAAGCCCCATGTGAACCATTTTTAAATGTACAGTTCAGTGGCATTGAGTATATTCATAATGTTGTGCAGCCATCACCACTGTCTGTTTACAAAGCTTTTTCATCACCCTGAACAGAAACTTTGTACCTCCCCTCCCCGAGCCCCTGGTAAATACTCATCTACTTCTTGTCTCTATGGGTTTGCCTGTTCAAGATATTTCATAGGCGTGGAATCACACAATATTTGTCTCTTGTGTCCTTCCATTTAGCTTAGTGTTTCCAAGGTTCACCCATGTTGTGGCATGTGTTAGAACTGTATTCCTTTTCATGGATGAATAATATTCTGTTGTATGGATGGTCCTCATTGTGCTTAACCATATTTCTGTCTGTTGATGGATACTCAGGTTGTTCCCCCCTTTTGGCCATTGTGAACAGGCACACAGCAGTTAGAGGTGGACAAGATGAGACCCAGGCCCTTTGTCTCCAGAGTGAGCCCACGGCCTCAACCCCTATGAGTTGGTACAGACTTTTCCATCCCAGGTTAAAAAATAATTGTCCAGAAGAGTTGCCGAGGTAATTGTAGAAATGAAGAAAACACAAAATAAAGTGACATGGACATGGTTCCAATTGAACTAATCAGGGGACTTGGCAGCCCTGGCAATTCTCCTGTTTGAGGTTATTTCAGATATATTTCTAGGCATGGCTGAGGGCGTGGGTGATTTCTGTCATGGGAGAGGACATGCCCTGGCTCTGTAAGATGACCCTGTGTCAGTGCTTGCACTCAGAACTACAGAGTCTTGGCATGTACCCACTCCGTCCAAATACCAAACTCCAGCATAGCTTCTGGCAGCGTAAGCCTTTGCCCCTAGGATTACCCCAGCGCCCCATTAAAATGCCTGCCTGAGAAAGCTCCATGCTGCCAGGAGAATTTATTATTTGTTCTAGCCAACACCTGATGATAGGCCCCTGACTTCCCTTTCTTAGAGCACTTACTATAAAGGTCTTATAATTTGTGAATATGTGTCTCTTACAACCCAGAAGCATCTGTCACTGACCTGAGAGCCGTTCCCTTGAAATATACTCATCAGGAAGGACAGGGCCTCTGCCTCCCTTCTCTGTGGGAGGATAGGCTCCTGCCTCCCACACCTGCCAGGCAGCAGACACACCTGGCCTAATTGCAGCTTCACTGACTGGCTCTTTGTGATTTTTCACTTTTCTGACTCCACTGAGCCCTCCTCACCCTCTCCCTCAGTCTTCCTTTGAAACACCTGTCACCTCTGCACAAATCAGACGGAGCTCAGCTCTTTCCCCTGCTGTCAGTAGTTACCGAATATGTGACGAAAGAAACGGAACAGCTTCAGGGCTAACAGCACATTTTGGCTTCTGTAAGAAACTTGCTTGCTTGGGGCAGGAAGAACCAGGTTCCTGATTGGCTGATTCAAAATTAAACAGCTCCCTCCTGCCTTGGGAACTTCCCGACCTGTGAAGGGTATAAAGGCCTCGCCCAACTGTTAGTCGGGGTCTCACTCACTTCTCTCCGAGTGGGACCCTGTCCGGACAGTTTGTGTAAGCTTCTATACTTGTACTTGTATAAATCCTTTGCTAATCTTTCTGCTTGGTGTTGGTGATTCTCGGGTGTCCTTGGTTGGGACACGGGTCGCATTTACCGGGGAACTTGACTCCAGGCGTGTGGCTCCCGGACTGCAACAAATAAAATCTCCTTCCACTGCTTTAACTAAGCATCAAGCCATTAACTTTAGATTTAAGAGTTCTTGGTCTTACCTGGGACCCTGGGAAATGGGGAGACAAGAGGATGGAAAATTCCCTCTGACGTTTGGCAATGACCGCAACTACAATACTTAATTACTGAGCATTCTGTGGCATTTGCTAATTGTTCTCTGTATTCATCTTACCTTCCCAGCGAGGGGCACATCTTACCTCTGAATTCCCACTGTTGCCCTTATTCAATCAACAAATGTTTAGGGAGGGCAGGATTTTGTGAGAAGCCAGATAGTGCTGAAGCCAGCTGGGTTAAAGGAGGCATTTATGACAACAAATTGTGACAATGGTCACAGAGCTCAGGTGGAAATAGGACAGCTGGGAGGTGTGTGTGTGTGTGTGTGTGTGTGTGTGTGCGCGCGCGCACGCGCGCGTGCGTGTGTGTGGTGAGGGGTCAAAGAGAAGAGCAGGGAGCAAAATCAGATAGAAAATCTCATCCCCACCCCCAGCTCTAAGTGTTCTGGGCTCCTGGGAGCATGATGTGCACAAGGCCATTAGATATTTGGTGTCTGAACTCCTTGGGTTATACGTGGAGAAAGGCTTGGGTGTGCAGAGATGCTATACCAGGGGCTTTAACCTCTTTAGACCCACATTGCTGTTAGAGTCCAGCGAGGGCCATGGACACCCAGACCCACACCCACACCCTATTGTGCTTAAAGGGTCCTGGCTTCATGGATCCCTGGATCCTGCATTCCACAGACCTCAGGAGGAGACCCAGAGGAAGTGACCCAGGCCCCATCAGGGTCTTCGGCCAGTTCTTCTGACAAGTCTGGAATCAGGGCGGTTTGATTTCGCTGGAAGATGAACAGCTCCTCTTCCTCGCAGTTTGACTGTGGACAAATGAGAGTTCTCTGGATTATATGGCAGCTGGCAGGGCCAGGTGCACCTCAGCTTCCACCCACCCTCCCTGCCCCGCTGCTCTCCAGCTGTCTGGGCAGACCAGTTGTCTTCCGAAGGGACTCGCCATGGCTGGTTCCTGCCGCTGACTTAGAAATGGGCTTGGCAGCACCACCTGGTGAAGGTGAGATCCAGGGCGCCCAGTTCTGCACGTACCTGCTACCCCTAAGACTTTGCGTACAGCAGGTGCTCACTTAGTGCCTGGCACTAAATGAACAGAGCAGTGAGGTGACAGCTGAAAGAGCAGAGTCTGGGCCTCCCCGTACTCTGTAACAGGGAACCTTGGCGCTTCACTTACATGACATTGAGCTGATAAGCTCCAAAGCAGTCCTTGGTCGGCATCATGTTTGCCATGGGAAGAAAGTGCATTGGGGCCTAGGAAGATGTAGGAAGAAGGTGCTTGCTTACCGAGGAGGAATCTGAGTCCAGAGATGGGAGCTGCTCCTTGACGGCCTCAAGGATGGCGTCCCAGGGACTGGGCAGTAAGGGCCCCACATCTTTGTCATGGGATGCCATGGGATGCTTCTCAGTGTGCCATCATCCAAGGAACCTTGCTGAGGACATGGAGTGAGGTGAGAGGGTCCAGGAGCAAAGGGTCAAGAGCTCAGGGGGCTGCCTTTTCAAAGCATATACCATCCCTTGCCTTGGGGGATGAAAACAGATTGGGAGACCACCCACCCCTTCTTCCTTCTAGTCTGCAGGTTCCTGTTACTGAGGGCCAGGCACTGTGCCCTGCATTGTGTGTGTGTGCAAGTGTGTATGTGTGTGTAGTGCAGTATGGAGCCTGCACTACAGTATCAGTATGTACATAGTGATATTTTATGATAATATATAGATATATGTATTGATATATAATGATATATGTACTTGATGTGTAGGTATATGGATGATATACAGAATGATACGTGTATGACATACAGATATTTGTAAACTATGTATATCCCATACAACAGACACTTATTATCTACATTTTATAGGCTGAGATTATATCATTAGTAAAGACAAAGACAGAATTTGTATCAAAGAGGGGATTTCAAGCCCCACTACTCTTTACGGCCCCCTTACAAAGGAACAGACTAGAGACATTTTGGAGTCCCGCGGACACTTTTTTTGGAGTTGACACTCAAATTAACCCCTTATACCCAGGCACTTAGGCAACACGTCCCAGAGTCTAACAGAAGGCCCAGTCCCTCAGGGGTCAAGGGGGCTTAGAAATGTGGGGTGATGGTACTTCAGAGCCAGTGTCTGGAGAGTACTTGCAGCCTGAGAGCCCTCTGTAACCATAAAATGGGAAAAGAACACTCCTGCCCCAGCCCGGGTTCCCATCAGGAAAGCAGCAGGTGAGTGGGGGCTTCTTACTTCTGTGCTCACAGGAGTCGGGCAGGAGCTTGGTGCACCTGACCTGGGAACAGCAGAGTGGGGACATATCTGGTATATACGTCACGGGATGTTCTCCGACTGCAGGTCAGGTCAGAGGGCAACAGAATCACCCAGGTGAAGGGGACTACCAGAGACTCTAAGTTCTCCAGGAGGACAAGGCAATAGGGGAGGAAAAGGCATTACAGACTGCGGGAAGAGCACGTAAGAGCTCAGAGGAGTGAAAAGTGCCCAACATGCGGGGGAAGAAGTTTTCAGTTGCTGGAATATACGGTGCAAACGGACGAGATCGTGAAGGGTCCTGAACGCCAAGTTGAGGAGCTTGGCTCACCCAGCAGACGAGGTTTACGCTGAACGCTGCACGAAACAGCAGCTCCCTCCGAATCCTGACTGCCTCCACGTCCGTTTCTTGGCTGCAGCCCGTTAGCCCCGCCCAAAGCTCCGACCCCCATCCCCTCCTGCCGCCGGTCAGCCGGTTGTTATGACAACTAGACGCCAAAGTCCTCCTGGGTCAGGCTTTTAAATTCTAAAGGTCAGAAACAGGAAACCCATCGTGCGTCCTCCCACCGATCCCCAGCTCGTTTCCCCAGCCCCCACCCCGTCCAACTCCCAACATTTATCTCCGCAACTGAGGCAAGCCCGAGGCCGTTCACCTCGGCCTCAGCCTCCCCGCCTGGCGTGGTCCAGACAGGGATATAAACAGGCTCCAGCGCGTCCCTCCGGTCGTGTTCTCCCCTTTGGGCCGCGGCGCAATTACTGAGGCTGTCGCTGCCTTCGGAATCCCCGCTTAGCAGAGTATTATATTACTGCACTGCCACCTCCTTCCCACCCCCCGCTCTTCTTTCGGGACTTGGCGCGTCCTGTCTCTCCTGAAACTCGATTGGTTTCCCTGGCCAGCGGAGGGGCGCGGTAGGGCGAAAAGCCCCTGCTCATTGGCTGCCGCCGACGTCACACAGCGAGCCGGGCGGGCTGACCGGAAGGTCCGGGTGCGGGACGGACGAATTCCACAGCGCCCGGGGGACCCAGGAGCGTCCCGGCGTGCTCCGCGCCTCTCACAACCACTTCCGGGGCGGGAGCGGGGCCGCTGGGTCCGCGCGCTGTGGCGGCGGCCGGCGCGGAGGGACCCCGGACGGGCGCGGCCGAGGGAGCGCGGCGGAAAGTGGGCAGGGGTAGACGGCGGCGGCGGCGGCGGCGGCGGCTGCTGGTCTCCATACTTGCCGTGGAAATTCCTTGGGAGAAAGGTCGCACTTTTCAGGACACGGAGGGAAGGAGGCGGTGAGTGTGGTGCATGAAAAGTCCCGGGTGCGCAGAGCCGGCGGAGGCAGCGGCGGCGGCGGCGGCGGCAGCGGCAGCAGCCCCAGGGCTGCCCGCGGCCCGAGGTCCAGCGCAGGTAGGCTCCGCGGCGGCCCTGCCCCGCCTGGTGTCCTCACCTGATGCGCACTCTCGGGGCGTCCCAGCAGTGCCGCTGGCTCGCCGCTTGAGTTTATGACTCCGAGCGTCCGCTTTGCTGCTGGGCAGCGGGGACGATAAAGCCACGTGCGGTGTAGGGTTACTGGGAGGAGGTGTCAGTGCTTGGGTAGTTCCCTAGGTTACCCTCCCCAGGGCCTGAGAATGAGGTTGGGATACCCGGGGCCAGCGGAAGGCCCACGCCCCGGGGCGGGACGCGGTGCCCTCCGGCTTTCACAGACTTCCTCCCTGTGGACGCCACGGTCAGCAGCAACGTCATTTTTTTGTTATTGTTGTTAATTTTTTTGTTTTTTGTTTTGCTTTAAAAGTAACAAATACTTAGCATTTTACAGAATGGACAGAACACAAAGGTAAAAGGAAAATCAAAGGGTTGCGTTCCTAGTGCTACTTACTTCCTGTAAATAAATCCTGGAAGCGATATGCAGATTTTCTACAAGTATACGTGATGTATGTGTGAATACAATTTTGTTCGTAAGGAATTCCCCGTCATCGTAGAGCATCTGGCATGCGGCAGGGTGATAAAGGAAGTAATTGGGTTGGCCAAAACGTTCTTTCGGGTTTTAAGTAGAAATAAAAGACACACTTTTCATTTTCACCAAGAACTGTATTGAATAACGTATTCAGTGTTTCGTTCTACTACTTTCTACCATTTTTCAGGTAGCTGCATAATTCCACCTTACCAAAACTTTTTATCTTTTGAGCAAAGAACTGTTCCAGATGCCTTTTAGTCTTCCAGGGAATTGAAATTTTTTCCCATTATGAGAATTTTGTAAAGACTGAAATAAATAGAAATCTGAAGATGCGATGTCTGTTGAATGTGGTGGATGAATCAGAACTTCCTAGCCAAGCTGTAACAGTTTTTGCCTGGTCATCAAAGAAACACATGGTCATGTGGTATCCTGATAGAAGATTATGCGTTTTCTGTTGACTGATTCTAGACGCTTTTCATAGAGTGCTGCTTTTAGTTGGTCTAATTGGGAGCAGAGCTTGTAGGAATTAATCGTTTGGTTTTCCAGAAGGAGCTCAAATAGAGGATTCCCTTCCAATCCCACCATATACACAACATCACGTTCTTTGGATGAATATTGGCCTTTGGTGTGGTTGGTGGTGGTTCATTTCGCTTGCCGCACGATCTCTTCCGTTCCACAATATTGTACAGTGTCCAGTTTTCATCGCCTGTCACAATTTATTTCTTTTTTATTTTGTAAAAATGTTTATTTATTTTTGGCTGCATCAGGACTTAGTTGCGGCATGTGGGATCTTTCACTGTGGCACGTGGGCTCTGTAGTTGCATCATGTGGGCTCTTTAGTTGTGGTGCACGGGCTTCGTTGCCCTGTGTGGCATGTGGGATTTTAGTTCCCCGATCAGGGATGGAACCTGCGTCTCCTGCATTGGAAGGCAGATTCTCAACCACTGGACCACCAGGGAAGTCCCCACAATTTGTTTTAAAAATGGAACGTTTTAGTTATGTTTAAGTAGAGAATCACATGTGGAAATACAGTCAGGAAGGTTTTTTCGCTTAACTTACGTGGAACATCAAAGCAATTAACATAACCAAGCTGGTGCAAGTGATTTTCAGTGCTTGATTTGGATATTTTGAGTATGTCGGCTATCTCCCACGTGGTATAACGTTGATCGTTCTCAGTTAATGTCTCGATTTGGTCACCATCAACTTCAACTGGTCTCCCTGACCTTGGAGCATCATCCCTTGAGAAATCTCCAGCACGGAACTTCTCAAACCATTTTTGACATGTTCGATCAGTCACAGCACCTTTTGCATACACTGCAGCGTTTCGGTTGTGTTTTTACCTTTCTTGAAATAATAAATCATGCTGAAAATGTTGCTTTTTTGTCTTCCATCTTCATTGTTAAAATGGTTACACAGAAATTCACCAATTTTGATAATGTTTGTTTGTTTGTTTTTTGCGGTACGCGGGCCTCTCACCGCTGTGGCCTCTTGCGTTGCGGAGCACAGGCTCTGGACGCGCAGGCTCAGCGGCCATGGTTCACGGGCCCAGCCACTCCGCGGCATGTGGGATCCTCCCGCACCAGGGCACAAACTGCATCGGCAGGCGGACTCTTAACCACTGTGCCACCAGGGAAGCCTGATAAGTTTTTTTTTTAAATGCACTCTGATATGGCAGCTGTCACAATACAATCTAACAAAATTGTTTCAAATGAAGTTAAAGACAACTAAGCGCTACTAGAGCCATCTTATGGAAAAAACAAACAAACAAACATTTTGGCCAGCCCAATAGCTTTATGGTCTCTTGGCATCCGAGTTCTCCCTCCATGGGCTCCTGGAGTGGGGGTCTGATTCTGATTGCCCCTCAGCGTTCTGGAAGGTGTCAGACAGGTGAGCCTCCAATAAAAGGAGAGAGAACATGGGTCCCACCCTGGAGTATTGAAAGGAGTGCTGAACTGACAGCTTATTTGAATTCTTATCCAGGCTCTGTGGCCTGGACTGTTCAGCTTGGGTGTTCCCACCTGAAAATTGAGAGAGCTGATAGTTCTCAGGCCCTGCCAGTGTGGACAGGGGGTTCCAGGAAGCACCGCTTTGCTCTGAACTTTGTTATACTTACTCTGGCCAAGGGCCGACAGATTCTTTGTCCCCCAAATTGGTGGCTTGTTTGTTGTTTGGCCATGTTGGCTGTATCATGCTTGGAAGCATATGTTAGTAGAGGTTGACGTGCTAATGGCATCTGTGAACTGCTGTGGTACCTTTAGGCCATCTGAACTGGAAGTGGTTTTCTTTGTTTTCTCCTCTTCCTTTTCTACACCTTGGTCTTTGTTCTTTACCCCCAGAGTAGAACAGGAGACAATTGTCACACCAGGACTAAGGGTTCTACTAGGAAGCTGATGACTTGGGTTTGATGGGTTAGGATTCCTAGAATGAAGGGCTCTTCATCCTGCTGTTGTCCCATCTTGGGGAAAGTGTCACCCAACAAATTAACCAGTCTATCCCATTCCCCCTCGTCTCTCCCACATTCAAGGGATGCATAGGTAGATTCCTAGTCAGTTAGCACTGGTCACATCCTGGTTTCTGTGTTGGGGCTTTCTTTCCGTTTGTTTCAAAATCTGTTTTTAAAATTTATATACAGTAAATTTACTCATATTGGTGTTCAGGTTTATGAGTTTTGATAAATGTATAGAGTCATATGTCCATCAATCAAGATACAGAACAGGGGCTTCCCTGGTGGCACGGTGGTTGAGAGTCCGCCTGCCGATGCAGGGGACACGGGTTCGTGCCCTGGTCCGGGAAGATCCCACGTGCCGTGGAGCGGCTGGTACCATGGGCCATGGCCGCTGGGCCTGCGCGTCCGGAGCCTGTGCTCCGCGACGGGAGAGGCCACGACAGTGAGAGGCCCGCGTACTGCAAAAAAAAACACAAAAAAACCCAAAAAACAGAACAGGTCCATCATCCCCAAATTCCCTCTTGCAGTCCCTTTGTGGGACCCCCACCCCTAACCCTTATTACCACTGATCTGTCCTCCTTTAGTTTTATCCTTTTTTTTATTTAAAAACATTTTTTTTAACTCATGCACTTGTATTGTTTATTTATTTACTTATTTTGACCACGCCTCATGGCATGTGGGATCTTAGTTCCCCTACAAGGGATCGAACCCGCGCCCCCTGCATTGGAAGCATAGAGCCCTAACCACTGGACCGCCAGGGAAGTCCCCCCTTTAGTTTTATCTTTTCTAGAAAGTCCTGTAAATGGAATCATACAGTAGGCAGCGTTTTGAGTCTGGCTTACACTTGGCATAATGCGTTTGAGATTCGTTCATGTGTTGTGTGTATCACCTGTTTATTTCTTCTGCTTATGGCTGAGTAGTGTTCCGTTGTGTGGACGTGCCACTGTTTGTCCATTCTGCCATGTGTTTTTAACTGCAGTCCTTGGAAATATCATGTCCCCATTAAACAGTAAGGAACTAGGGGTTGGAGATGCTAAGTAGCAGAGCTAAATTTTGATCTAATTCCAAGTCCAGGGCTCTTTATTTTTTTTATTTTATGTATTTATTTTTGGCTGCATTGGGTCTTCCCCGCTGCATGCGGGCCCCTCCTAGCTGCGGTGAGCGGGGCCCACTCCCTGCCGCAGTGTACGGGTCTCCCACTGTGGCGGAGCCCCCCGCTCCTGCTGCGGAGCATGGGCTTCAGGCACGTGGGCCTCAGCAGCTGTGGCACGCAGGCCCAGCAGTTGTGGCCCACGGGCTCCAGAGCGCAGGTTCACGGGCTCAGTTGCTCCGTGGCATGTGGGATTCTCCCAGACCAGGGATCAAGCCTGTGTCCCCCACATTGGCAGATGGACTCTCAACCACTGCGCCACCAGGGAAGCCCCAGGGTTCTTTTTCACCAAATCTGAGAGTTGATTTGGTCCACTGACCTAATTACCATTTCTCTGCTTCCCATGCAAGAGGTTGTCAGGCTCCTTGAGTTCCCTTTCTAGAATGTGGGGCCTGGGGGTCATAAAGGAAAATATATGCCACAGTTTATGACACAATATGTGCTCCTCTTTTTCTGTCTAGTGACAGGCTCACCAGTACTAGCATGATGGAGCTGCCCGAACCATACAATTTTTTTTTCTTTTTGGCTGCACTGCAGGGCTTGTGGGATCTTAGATCTCCGACCAGGGATCGAACTTAACCGCTGGACCACCAGGGAATTCCCGCATACGATATTTATTGAAAGGAAGTTGTCTGGTCAGTCCTAGGAGTTGGGTACATTGGGCAGCAGTCTGTCAGGGCAGTGACTTAGCCGCCTGCTGTGGGCAGGAGTGTGACCATGCCATTTCACTCTCTGTAGCTACCAGGAAGGAAGGACCTAACGACCCCAGTGCCTCCCTCCACAGCGATGTCGGAGCTCAGCGATGAAGCCAGTGAGCCGGAGCTGCTGAAACGCA